AGGAGGCAGCTGATCTATGTTTCTCTCTCATCGATGTTTCTAACTCTCTATCCCTCTCCCTTCCTCTCTGTAAAAAAATCAATATAATATATTTTTTTAAAAAAGCAGGAACACCTTTCCTTCAAGCCTAAACAAGTAAGAGCAGAGCAGTTTGTCAAAAGGAAGTCTGCTGCCACCCCGGGCCCCTAAGGCAATGCCAGGGAGCCTGGTTTGAGAACTGCTGGACCAAAAATGCCTCTTTCAACTCTTAAGTTTAATTTGTGCCTATCTGTAGACAAAAGGCAGTATTTTTTTAAAACTTGGGTCAGTTTTGTATCTTCATCTAACTGTGGACCCTAAGAGACATAAGAGCTAAGTCAGGTAATACTTTTGATAGCCCCTGGTTCTAGGAGTTATGTGAAAATGTAAGTGTTCCTGCCGTTGGGAGATGTATTCCGGCTGTTGTATGTGCGCAGCTTTATTTCTCCCTAATTAATGACTCCCCAGTCTCTTCTCCTGGCCTTTCAGGTGTTTTATAGGGCAGCACAGAGGGAAAAGCAGAAAGGGTCATAAGGGTCTTGCCTCCCAGGCAAACACTGCTTATTCTCTGTTCTTTGAGCATGCCGAACCATGAGGGCTTTTTGAGCAGGGTTTGACATGCAGATTGACTACGCTTTCTGATTAGCAAAAGAAGGATGCATATATGTTACAGTTTAAACCAAGCCAAGCAAATTGTATGGCCGGGTTATCATTATTGCTCTTCCTTTGGGAAACAGCTATGGGGCAGAGGTAGGAACTGGTACCTGGAGAGGTCAGGAGAGCTGTGACCTAGCTCTGGCCCTACTGTTAACACTAGCCCAGTGGAAGACCCGAGCAAGTGCTGGGTCCCTCTTCCATCTCTTTGCAAGTGAAATTAGACTGATGATCTCTTAAGAGTCCTTCCAACATTCTAATCATACTAAATACCCAACATTTTTCTAAACTAGTCATAGGTACAGTGGAATGGAGCAGCTTTATCATCTCTAAGGCAAAATGAGACCTGAGTGTATACTCCCTAGTTTGAAAATGACAGCCAACTGTTTCCCAGTTCTTTGTTGTTGTTTTTTAATATATCTTTATTGAATTCAGAGAGGAAGGAAGAGGGAAAGAGAGATAGAAACATCAATGATGAGAGAGAATCATTGATTGGCTGCCTCCTGAACGTCCCCTACTGGGTGGGGATCAAGCCTGCAACCCAGGCATGTGCCCTTGACCAGAATTGAACCCGGGACCCTTCGGTCTGCAGGCTGACGCTCTATCCACTGAGCCAAACCAGCTAGGGCTGCTTCCAGTTCTGAAGGACATTATGGCCCCAGTGGAACTGCACTGGGTCATGAGACGGCTCCAGGCTTTTCTCAGAACTCGGGGTGTTTTTCTACCAGTCTTTCTCTTTGCTTCCCCACCAGTGTATTTCTCTGTCTCTTCCTATTTGACACTTGCTCCTCCTTTACTTCCCATGTCCTCCCTCTATTGGCTCGAACTATGTATGTGTCTGGTGTTCTGTAAGTTAAAATTTATCACCTCCATTTTTCAAAAATTTTTAAAGTGACTGAAACTTCCTACACTTTTCTACTTTTGAAAACTCCTCTATTACATTATACTATATTAGAGGCCTGGTGCACAAAAATTTGTGCACTCGGTGGGGAGAGAGGGTCCCTCAGCCCGGCCTGTGCCCTCTCACAGTCTGGGACCCCTCAGGAGATAATGACCTGCTGGCTTAGGCCTGCTCCCGGGTGGCAGAGGGCAGGCCCAATCCCTAGGTGCAGCCCCTGGTCGGGCTCAGAGCAGGGC